CGCTTCTCGGGGGCTCCAGCACCCTGCTGCTTCCTTCTCCATCCCGGGGACCGTAGGTACCTGGGCCGGGGCAAGGCCCACCCAGCACAGGGCAGCAGCTCCCCCTGCTCTGCCGGCTCTCCCGGGGGACTGCAGGTTCCCGCCCGCGGCTGGAGTTGTGCCCCGCGGCAGAGCAGAGGCCGGTCAGTACTTGCCCTCCGGGAGGGGAAAGCGGCCCCCTCTCTCCCAGCATAAATGGCTTAAACTAGCAGCTTATTGCACAGCGTCCCAGTGGGTCCCTGCAAGCCCCTCACTGCCCCCACATCCACCACCATCTGCTCCCACAATGGAGTGGGCACATCACCTGGAGCAGGTAGAAGGTGGGTTCTCCCACCTTCTACCTTCCACCTTCTCCCTGGGAACAGGGCTCTCCTGTTCCCAGCACCCAAGGGAAGGGCAGGGATGGGAGCCACAAGCAGGCAAACAGCATCTGCCAGTGTCCTGGGGACCATGGTGAGCAGGAGAAACGCCCCCCCCCGCGCCCAATGCAGCCCACCCAGCAGAGACCCCCAGCTCTAGGGCAGGGAGCAGGGAGAGAGGGAGCCAATAAATAGAGGCAAGTTTGCAGGTACTGGCAGCAGCGCCATCCGTCAGGCAGGGCAGGGCAGGGCAGGGAAGGGCACGCTTGATGTGAGTGGTAAGAGCCCCGACACTGGGGAAGGGGCAGGCTGGAGGGAAAGCGCTGGTCCTGGGAGGCCAGGCGGCTCTGCAAGGGGCTGGCGAAGGAGCCGGGCCATGCAGGTTAGCTCTCCGAGGCCGTGTGACACACAGAGTTCTGGTCAGCACAAAATCTCTTTAGAGGTGGCGCACCAGAGTCCTCCTCCTCTTCAGTTACCTGCAAGAGCCAGAGGTCACAGGCAGTGACACCGAGCTACACATACCCTGACAAAGCTGTGTCACACCATGGGGACACCCCGGGCCGTCACCTATGCACAGACCCCAGGGCACCAGGAATGGGAACCCACTCCAGCCTGGAGCCTGACAGTTTCATCATTTTCCCACACCCCCCACATCCTTCCCTCACACTTCAATACTTGATCTGAACCAGGGGATAAAGATCAAAGCTCAGGAAACCAGGAGGTTCTGGGAGCTCCCAGGGGGCATTTGGTATTGCAGAGCGACTTTATCCACCGAGATGCTTCTGCTACAAGAAGCACCAACAAGGGTCAAAGGGCCAATCTGGGCCCAGGCACATTTAGAGATGGTTTCAATCCCCCTTCCCTTACCTGAGTCTCAAGGGGGACTGGCTCTTCCTTTGTAAGAGTGGGAGGCTCATCTGCCACTTCTGAGGAAGGCAGGGAGGGCTCTGGGGAGAACAGGTGGATCAAAATAAATGCAGAGCCAGCACCAAGCTCAGTGCTGAGCCAGGACAACACCTAGCAGAGGAAGTCCCTGATGCCAGCTTCCAGCAGTGCCAAGGCCACCCACCACACCACCAACAGCCCTGGGGGGGCCTTCCCTGAGCCCACGCATCTGCCTCCTCCCTTCCCAGCCCAGCACCCACCTTCCAGGGTCTCCTGCCCCAGGGTAGGAGGCTGAGAGTCATCTGTGCGGAAGTCAGACGTGTGGGCAGGACTCATGGACTCACTCTGCTGGGGACTGGGGCTGGAGTTGGGGCTGCTGTCCACCTTGAGCTGGTACACGTCAGACAGGGAGCTCTGGTTGCTGTTCTCATCTGCAGAAACAGCACCTGGTGAAGAAGAGCACCTTGACCCAGGAGCACAGGCAGCCCAGGGCGGCACTGCAAGCTGAAGTCTTGCCGAGAAGGCAGAGCAGAGTCAGAGAGTTAAACAGGGGATTCACTGTTCCCTATCAGCCTGGGCTGTCAGGCACAGGACTGTGCTCCAGAACACAGTGGGAATCATTTACACAACTGGCTGTGGGAGAGGGAATGCTCCTGCCCTGGGAATGAGAACGAGCACTGTCAAATCTCACATCTGCAGCTAGGGAAGGCCCTGGACATCTCCTGGGTTTTGTTCCTCCTCTGTGAAGCAACATCAGGATTAATGCTCAGCACCTGTCTCCCAATGAGGAGGCAGGCCTGGCACACACCTTCCCAAATTGCAGACCTGCAGCATAACCCCACCACATCTCCTGGAGGTGTCAGAACATTCCTAATTTTGCTTAGCCACATACAGAGCAGGGGTTGAACAGATGTGTACACTCTATTTCAGCAGTGAGTTTGGCGCTGCCAGAGCCTCTCCTGGCTGTACCACAGTGCCCAGACCCAGACATCCTTTGCCCCTTCACCCTAAGGTCCGTGGAAATAACTTGGAAAAGCAAGCTTGGCTGCAGGTGGCTACTGGCCTCTCCCTAGCAGAGAACAGAAAGGGGGAAGCAGGAAACTCCACTCCTCCAGTTGGCTGTGAAGCTTCCCCCAGAAAATACCAGAAACAGCCCACTAAGACTCTCTGACAGCAAAAATGAACAGTTTGGACAGGGACAATCCAGAAGTGGATCAGTCCAACTCCACAGCTCAATTCCATACTTCCCCACTTCATGTCAGTGCTCAGAGGCAAGCACTGCTCTTCCCCATACAGGCAGCTCACAGAACCAGCAATGTTCCAGCTACTGTACAGCCTTGGAGTATTTCCCCAGGTTGAAGGGAGCACAGCCAGACCCACCTTGAAACTCCAGAAGGAGGGAGGAGTTGGCAGAGGTGTCAGCTGGGAAGCCATTGGGTTCTCGGGCTGTGCTGCTACTCGATTTGGATTTCTCTTTCTTGAGGAGAGAAAGAAAAGCACAAACACAATGTCAGAGGAACACATGCTGCTCCAGAGGAAACATTCCCCTTTCTGTCTCCAGAAGCCCAGAGGGATGTGCACAACCTGGCCTTTTCCCTTGGCTTTGGGAGCACATTCCTAAGTGAGAAGCAAAATTCCGTCTACAAAAGGACTGGGAATCAGGAAAGAGAGGAGGAGATGACGGTCGTCCAGCAATGACACCAAGTAAAGCAAGCCCTTAGAGAAGTCAAGCGGAGAGTCTTGGGGAGGGGGGGAGGTTCAAGAGAGCTCAGAGGGCTCAGCAGAGGCTCGATAGTTTGCGGGGGGCTCAGGTTAACTGAAGGGGCTTGTTGGGGTGGGGGGTGGATCAAGAAGGCTTGACAGGGTTTCATAGGACTTGAGAAGGGACTCGGTGGGCTTCGGGTGTGTTCGGGGGTCAGCTTGGGGAAGGATCAAGGGCTTGGGGGGCTCAGGGGATCTCGAAAGGGCAAGAAGGGCTCAGTGGAGCCTCAAGGGTGCTCAGCAGAGCTGGGAGGGCTCAGCGGGGATGACTCGGAGGGGACGCAGGTGGGTTTGGCGGCGTTCAGTGGAACTGGGGGGCTCGGAGGTGGGTCGGGAGGCCTCAGTAGTCGGTGGGGCTGGAGGAGGCTCAGAGGTCAGCATAAGGGGGGCTGTTAAGGGGGCTAGGCTGCCTATGGGCGGTGGCTCCCGGCTCGTCTCCATGCGCGGTACCCACCTCCTTACTGTCCGCCACAGGCACCCACTTGAATATCCGGAGGGACGTGTCGCCCACCGTCACCCACTTCTTCTCCCTGCGGGACGCAACGCTGACGGGCCGGACCGGGCCTGGGGCACCGTGGCAACAAACCCCGCCACGCTCCGGTTGGCCCAGAGGCCCGTCAGTTCAGCATTCCGCAGCACTCTTCCCGCCCCCCGCACTGTGATTGGCTGGACTAACCGCCCATCAGGGGCGCTTTCGTCCCCCGTCCCACTCCCATTGGCCATCATCCCCGCCCGCATCCGCTGGTTGGGCGCGCGCTCTCGGGTCGCACCCCGCGGCGGGGTGATTGGCTGCGCGCGGTAGGCGGGGCCCTCCCCCCGCTGGCCCG